GCAGTGCGATGCGGCGGCTAGTAAAGCGACCAAAACGCTGGCTTGTATCCATAGATGCTTCTCAAGCAAATCCCGGGACGTCATTCTCCCCCTGTACTCGGCCTTAGTGAGGCCGCAGCTGGAGTACTGTGTCCAGTTTTGGGCTCCACAATTCAAAAAGGATGTGGAGAAGCTTGAGAGAGTCCAGAGAAGAGCCACGCGCATGATCAGAGGTCAGGGAAGCAGACCTTACGATGACACGCTGAGAGCCCTGGGGCTCTTTAGCCTGGAAAAGCGCAGGTTCAGGGGTGATATGATGGCCACCTACAAGTTTATCAGGGGTGACCACCAGTATCTGGGGGAACGTTTGTTCACCAGAGCGCCCCAAAGGATGACGAGGTCAAATGGTCACAAACTACTACAAGACCGTTTCAGGCTGGACATAAGGAAGAATTTCTTTACTGTCCGAGCCCCCAAGGTCTGGAACAGCCTGCCACCGGAGGTGGTTCAAGCGCCTTCATTGAACACCTTCAAGATGAAACTGGATGCTTATCTTGCTGGGATCCTATGACCCCAGCTGACTTCCTGCCCTTTGGGCAGGGGGCTGGACTCGATGATCTTCCGAGGTCCCTTCCAGCCCTAATGTCTATGAAATCTATGAAATACAAGGGGTCTCAGACCCATCCATTCAGTAGGTGGGGCTGAATGATTAGCAGGAGAGAGTTGAAATTCACTGCTAGGATTTGTGAGTACCAGTTGTTTAATTTCACTGCAGGAACTGTTGCTGTTCCATGGGCCTACTGACTTCTTTTCCCTTTAGTTCTATAGATTGATCTATTTTTATTTTATTTTATTTTTTATTCCTGTTTTCTAAATGGTTCGCCTAGTAATCATGGTTGGGGCCTGGTTTAAATTGTAGGCCCAGCTTGCTAATATCATGACCTGATTGTGGCAGGAGCCACCATTTTCATGCCCAGATGGTGGTGCCCTCCCCCACACCCTCTAATTTGGCTGAGGTGGCAGGTGTAAGGCCAGGTTTAATAGCAGCAGCAGCAGCCAGAGGCCTTGGGAGCAAGGCCTCTGATTGCTGCTGAGCAATCCAGGGGAGAGGGGAAGGGGTTGCAAACCCCCCATAACCCCTGGTACCTCAGTTTTCCTGCTTGGAGGAGCAAACAGCCCCTCCCCTACCCATCCCCAAACTATTTCCTCCCCCTGGCCCTTTTGCAACCCCTTTTTCCCCGCTCCCCTGGGCTGCTAGGCTTTTGCTGCTGGCTGAGCAATGCCTGCCCCAGCCTGCAGTGGCCATCTTGTTGCCACTTACTCCCAAGCCACAGCCCACCCTGGCCCTGCTGCTGCCCCTCACTTCTGGCCCACAGTATCCCATCTTGCAGACTATGCTGTTGTCCCTCACTCACAACACACAGCCCCCTGTCCCATCCCTGCTGATGCCCCTCATTCCCAACTTGTAGTTCCCTGGCACTGCCTGTGGCTTGCACTTACAACCCACAGTCCCGCCCCCTCTGGTGTGCAGTTGACCAATTAGCTGTGCAGTAAACATTTCCCATCTACATGTGCGCTCCTATTAGGCCAGAGTAAACTAATTTACTCTGCTTCAGGATAGCACTTGTAAATACAAATGCTATCCTGCTGTAGAGTAAAAAACGGTGTAGCAGTGCACGTGTAGGCGCTGTTCTGGCTGGCTGGGGCATGAGGGTGTTTCAGTGCAGGGACTGCCTGCTGGCTAGATCCACACTGAAGCACCCTTGTGCCTTAGCCAGCTCCTCTGCAGCATGTTAAGCCAGGGAAAGCAGCCCCGGGCTGGCAGGCTGATTCCCCAGGCCCCCTGCCACCCATGGCTGTTCCGACTCTGTTCAACATACTGTGCATGAAGAAACTCCGAAGCTTGTTGCTTTGGAACTTATTGTTCTTGAGTGCATGTTCAAACAGCTTGCCCGGGAGCAATAAACTTAAGAGCAATAAGCTCCGGTGTTTATTGATGAGCATTAATTGCACACGTAGACACATACAGCAATTCCTAAATCAGACTTCTGCTGTGTCAGGTTGATCCTAACAAAAGAACTGAGGCTTAGATCCTGTGGGTCTGGGCATGTGTTCAAAATAAAGATTTTTTTTAAATGATGATTTAAATACAATTCTTTTGCAAGAAGCAAAATGATGTGCGTGTATAGATCTCAAGAGGATCATGAAGTACTTTATAGTTCATTAGTCACTGAGAAAGGTGTAGAGACTACATCTACTAGGCATACATATCCTCTTTCATTCTTTGAGATTACAAATTTGGTTGATAAAGGTAAGTACATAAGCTAAGTACAAAATACTTTAATGGTCATTTGTAAGGGGTTTGACTTAGTACCTGTACAGCAAAGCTAGCACTATATACAATCAATAAAGCACAAGTGAATTGATTAAAAACTGGTTAACTGACAGATAGTAAAAAGTAGCTGTCAGTGGGAAAGTCTTATTAAATAGAAGTGTTCTTTTTGATGGGAAGGCTTCAGGGACTGATACAAAATTTGATGTTATTCACTATTTTCATCAAAGCTCTGAAAATAAGCATCACTGCTAATGGAATCTGTGGATGATGCAATGACTAGCAGAAATGTGCCATTTTTTACCATAATGATGATAGTGCTGTTCTGTGGTGTGATTTGGACTGTTGGTAGCTTGGGCACATTTATATAAACATTTTAACACGGGCAAATGCACATTTAGGACCAAAGAATTCTGGCCACATCTATGGAATGGTGAACAGTGTCCCAGAAGATAGCAACTTTGTAAAGAATTTGTGTCTTATGGCAAACAAGCAAATCCATATGAGCTCTCAGTTGATGCAGTGGCAAAAAAGGGCTAAAGGATATATAAACTAAGAATTGCTGAATTAATAAGGGAGTAACAACAAGTAAGAATAGGGAGGTGCTGTAACCTCTGCATGTGGCAGTGACACATGTACTGGAATATAGTGTACAGTTAGGATGTCCATATTTTAAAGAGGATGTTGAAAAGATGTAGATAGGGTAGAAAAGAACCTCAAAAATGAGTTGAGAATTGGAAGAGGTGCCCTATTGGAAGATATGTAAAATGCTTGATCTGTTTAGCTTATCAGAAAGAAGATTGAGAGGTGTCTTGATTACTGTATCTAAA